TCCTGAAATCTTTTTTTTTCCTGCAGTGATGAGGCCATGCTTGTCTGACTTAGTATTGAAGTAGATCAAGAACATGGGAAAGGCTATACTAGGTCAAATCAAAGGTCCATCTAGCCTACTATCTTCTTTCACAGAGATAAAAAAGCAGATAAAGTATAAAAGTATAGCAAATTATATTTGCCCCAAATACTGTCTCAGACTTCCAACAACTTATGGCTTAAGGGGTTTCTGAAACAGAATTTTTTATCTGAAGGATGCGTTATGAAGTATGTGCATTAAAAAAAGATTAAAAAAAAAAAAATCTTCATTTACTTTGAACATGCCACCTGCCAGCTTTGTCTGATAGCCCTGGTTCTTGTATTGGAAGAGACCACAAGTAGTTGCTGTCTATTGACACTCGTGATTTTATAACTTGTATCCTATCTCCCCTCAGCCAGCTTCTGTCCAGGGCAGAGAGTCCTAGCCTGCTTAGCTAGTTCTCTAAGATGTGTCCAGAATTGTAGAGATATTCAAGATAGAAGCAAATGAAAGATTTGAAGAGTGGCATAATTATATACTCTATTTCATTCTTTTCCCTTCCTGCTAATCCCTAACAATTTGAAAAGCCATTTAGGAAAATCTGGACATTAAGCCTGCTTTAAAACCGTTGATGAATAGTGGAATATGGAATCTTTAATATGTGCTGTTCAGACTGATGCTTCTTGGATGCAAGGAAAGTGTAAATGTAAGGGAAAGACCAAAAGCAAAACCATCTAGACAGCTTCTTTTCAGGGAAGGAAGGGAGGGAGGGAGGGAGGGGGCTGGAGGAAAGAGTATAACAGAATCTAACGGGTCCAGTATTTAGTCAATTCATATCTAGAAAACACTAGCATGTACCAACACCTGAGACTAACGCAACAGTGCAGCAAACCAGAGAGCTCGCAGCAGCATACATCCTAACAGTGTCCACGTCTTAGCTATTGTCGCTGCTCAGAGTAAGTCTCTCCATCATTAGAACTTGTAACTGCTCATTTTCTACTACCACATCGTTTGCAGAAATCACTAATATTGCAGCAGCATCACAATGACCGGTCTTGCCAGCACAATTCCATAGTGCTCCTGAAATCCACGTAGGGCTAAGACCGTGCAGTGTCTCCTGTGCTCCTGATTAATTTCTTGGAAGCTGGAAAAGTCTTTTATATGTGTTATGCAAATGGAATTGTAGAATTAAATACGGTTCAATATAGCAGTGAAACATCTTGTTTCAGGATATAAAAGTTACGTAGAAGATAGATACCATGTTATTTTAAAAATGCTTGCAAATTAGTAGATGCTCTAGAAAATATTCTCAAAGTCCTCTCAAATAATAAATTGCTATTCTCATGTACGCTTTCTTAAGGAACTTGGAAAAAGAACTGACAGTGCACTTAGACTGCACTGGTTTCCTAAAGTTGAAGTTTTAAGAAAGCACATAAATGAATTATATATTTTTGTATGTTCTGTGTTGTTTTGGTTAGTGATTCTAGGATTTGCATAAAGTGGGACTGCAGAAAATGGTCTATAATTTTGATGAATTACTGATGGTTTTCCTGTCCAATTTCTCTCATCAGTGTTGCTAGTAACAATCCTTGTAGTGGAAGGGATTGCCGTTGCACAGAAGACACAAGGTACAATTTTGATGATTTTCTTTCAAAAAAATGTAACAAGTTTATAATTGTTAATTAAGCAATATAAGTGAAAGAAAGTATTTGTGTTCAGGTATTAATAGCTCTTGAATTATCAATATGAATTTCAGTATTTTCCATTTTCCCCCTATTTACTGCATTTTTTCCAATTGAATAAAGCCATCCAGTACAAATAACATGGAAGTTCACTTACCCAGTTAAAATTCTATGATTTTAGACCTCAGAGGTGGGAAAAAACCACCACAGAAAGTCATGTTTTCTGTATCTGACAACAAGCTTTTTAAATAGTCCACCCACAAACACTTTTGAAGCCTGCTGAGTGGGGAAGGCATCAGTTTCACAAAACTTATTTTCTCATATGTAGGATTAACCCACACTTAGGAGAGAAGAATTCCTTGAACTGACACCTACAGAATTTCCTTGAACAATTTCTGTAGGAGAGACTAAGTTTTCACCCCCATAAATCAAAAAGCTGCCCAGATACCAGTGGAAGGTGATGTAATTTACTGCAGGCAGCTAAGACCTGTATCAGCATGGACTCCCTCTCAAAGGTCTGCAAAGAAAAACTGCATAGATATAAATAACATGAGAGCACTCTGTGAGATTCAGGAAAAATCTAGCAGAAAACACGTATCCTTTGTCTTTCTCCAGTTCTGCTGATATCAAGGAGAAAGGCCAAAGGTACTTAAGAAGAACGTCAGAGAGATAATGCTATTCCCAACTCCTTTTTCCTTGGATAAGGAAATCCAAACTAACAAAGCTCCTGCAAATGGTCCAGCCTGGTGCCCTAGCTTAGTAAACTGCATAATCTCAGCCAAGGATCATATTTCCCTGTGCATCCAGAAGACAACCTTTGATCCTAAATGAGTCCCTTAGCTACCAGTGCAATCTACCTATTACCAGTAATTTTATTTACTATTATTGCTGTATGTAGTGTATTTACATATTATAATTCATTCTGTTATAAGCATTCTGTATCCAGCAAATTATTGTAAATACATATTCAACCTAAGGGCCATCTACTGCAGTATACACTGGAATAAGGGACAAAAATAGTATAAGCTAACAAATATTTCGGATTACATTTGCGTAGGAATGGAGAAGACGTAAGCTATAAAATAATGCTGTTGTATTGGCAGCCACTGTGACTATTTGACTTAGAAAGAAGAGCATCCAAAAAATCTAACCTGACTTGGGCAAAAAAATTTACTTTCTCTCTTCCATTCCCTAGGATTACTGAACATATTTGATATTCAAAAACTGGGATCTCTTTAAGATATACCACATCAGTAAATTAAACCTAAGATTTTCCTAGCGAGATATTAATAAGTGGCATAGAAGAGGGGTTTCAACCAGAATAAATTACTTTCTTCTTTTATAGGATATGTGTTATGTCATTGTTTTACTTTTGCAAAATCAAATTTGCATGCTTGTAGGAGCAATTTATTTGATTTTTTTCCCCCCCCTGCTTAAGGTGGGCAAAATATTGGAGTGAATCGCATTCCTCCTACCCAGTGTGACAATTGGGTACGGACAAGTAATGGAGGACATTTTGCTTCACCAAACTACCCTAACATGTACCCACCAAATCAAGAGTGCATCTATATCTTAGAAGGTACATGCTGTATTTCTGTTTTGTTGTGTTGTAATCTTACTGTTAAGTGGATAATATTGAACTGTTAGAACTATGTCATTTTACTATACTGTCAAGTATTGTATAGCCATACTGGTAATATAATCAATTCTGCAGTCATTTGGTTGAACAAGAAGCTAAATTTGCTCTCTGAAGTAATAACAACAAATTATAGAAAATGCAAACATTTGGGAATTAGCTATACAGAATAAGACACACCCTCACAGCCAGAAAAAGCAGCATCAGATCTACTGTAATCTATGAAGGCACAGAACTATTAAGATAAAAATTGTAGCTTGTTATCTTGATATCACTTCCAACATTGCTGATAATAGTCTTCAACCACCTTTTGCAGTTGTATCTTCAGCATTTACCAGACCATACTGTGTTATTCTCTCTCACAAGCAGAAAATCTTTATGCTGTACTTTATTAATAAATGAAGACACACCTGACTGCCATAGCACTGCACTAAAAATACGGAGATTTGTTAACACTGCTGAGGTCACCATTAAAGTAATGTGATGAGGACAAAAAAATTTCATTAACCAGAATAAAACCACATTCCAATGAGAATGTCTTGGATAAAGGCTGCAAGACTTGGGACACACTAATTACTTTTTCCTCTTATTAGAATGCACCCAAAACCACTGAAGTCAGCTAAAACCTTAGTCAGCTTAATCATCAGATTCATATCAATTAATTGAAATATTCCAAGTAATACGTTTCAGTGAGTTTTTATTTGTACAGTATAACACTGGTTCCTAGACACCCTCATTTTTGCTTGTATGCATGCATGTCTGAAGTTTTGCATCATCCCTGCCAGTGAAGGCACTGGAGAACAGATGTCCTGTCCAGCTTCAGAGTTCAGACATACCAGATGCATTGCTGATCTCCCTTGCACAAGGCAATTTCCATGGAGCACAGAATCAGCTTCCACACCTTTGTCCTCACAGTCCTTATACAGAAACATCATGAGTACCTGAGTGAGACCAAGATCCTCTGCAATTTCTAGCTAGGGTGTGGTCCTTCCTGCAGACCACTGCCAGTAAGTGCAAACAGCTACGAATTTTTAACTTGGGTATAAGTAAGCATGAGGTCTAAACAGAGCGTTAGACATTGTAAGTAAAACCTTTTTGCAGTCAGAAGCAGCAGACAGCATGTGATTCTTCAATGCTGTCATTCCAGATACCAGAACCATCTGAAAGTTCATGTAGCTCCATAGAGAACAAGAAACACTAAAGCTATTCATACAATATAAAGTTACGGTTCCAAACTACGGATGTGAAAGTCCTGTCACAAAGTAGCCATAGCTACATCTCATCAGGATTTAGGGGTCTGATCCAAATTCTGATGTTAGGCTGTCACTGGTTCAGACTTACCAACATCTGTAGTCACCTGTATATTAATAATATGTATGAAGCGTTTACACTTCTCTGAATATTCTAATAAAAGATGTCTCCTGCCAAAGGATCTCCAAATTTGGGCTTAATGTTTAGGAAATATACCAGTGAGTAGTTCTTTGTATCTTTTTCTTTTCCATTCTTTTCTGCATCCCTCAATATTTTGTCCTCTTTTATGTACTTTACTTTCACGGAACAGTGGTTTTAATTTATATCTTTAATATTAAACCTTGTTTGAATACCTTTGCATGTATATTAATATTCGTTACATGTGCTGCATTAAATTTATGTCATTTCTGAATTTTCAACAGTAAAGATCAGCAAGCAAAAAAATTCCATAAAATTCTGTGAAAAAATACCTTCTACACAGTCATTTTTTAAACTTTTATTACAGTGTATCCAAGTTTTTGTAGCAGACTGACAGATGTATTTTGAGAAGTTTCCAGTCTCTTTTTTATCTTGCTGTTTTGGAGGCCTGTCTCTTCATTGTTTCATGTCTTCATGTGTTTTTTATATAGAACTTTATTTAATCTTTTGCTTGATTTTTGATGTCTAGCTGCTCCACGGCAAAGAATTGAGTTGACCTTTGATGAACCTTATTACATAGAACCCTCATTTGAATGTCGGTTTGATCATCTGGAAGTTCGAGATGGACCTTTTGGTTTCTCCCCTCTCATTAATCGTTACTGTGGTCTGAAAAGTCCTGCACTAATTAGATCAACAGGGAGATTTATGTGGATCAAGTTTACTTCTGATGAGGAGCTGGAAGGAAAGGGATTTCAAGCAAAGTACTCATTTATACCAGGTAAAGATGCCTAAAATTCTGAGTTAATGATCATCTGCTCCCATTGAACTCTGTGGGTGTGTTTATGCTGGCAGTCTAAAGCTGTATTTTGTCATAAGTGGTTATGAAGGCAAAGTGACAGTGCGATAGTTTCAGTCTCAGTCCTGCTAATCCTACAGCATACATGACTAAAACCACTTTGGAAAATTGACTGAAGGAAATTACAGGTGTATATTTTGCTAGTGAAGAAGTCAGTTGATCTTGTTCATGCTGAAGGTTTTAGCAACTTCCCTCTTTGTTACTTTGTAACTTGTACCACTTTCAGCATTGGTAATCATGGAAAGAGCATTTAGATAGACAAATAGCTGGTATTTTCAACAGCTTATCTTCTAGAAATGTAAGACACTATGACAAAAACACCTGAAGCCAATCTACAGTAGCACTTCCAACCAGATGCAAAATATTTTAAAGCTCCTTTCTGAAAAGCCAGAGGAAGTAGCTATACAGTCCAAGCATCAGCTCTCAGTATAATTAGATTCCTTCAAACCACAGACTCGGACAACAGAATTGTTCTTTGCTCAAAGTACTGTGTAATTTACAGGGTAAGAAGGAGAGGATAATATGCTGACAGTACCTTTAGACAAACAAAAAGTATGTCTGCTCTGTGAGGCCACTTAAAACTGGCAGGGCATTCTTTTTACAAGAAAATTTGACCTGATGTCCTTGTGCAATGCTTGACTGCTGTACTTCATAGATACTATATGTGTAGTCATCAGCATTTTATTGTCCTTTGGAACAAAAGACAATATACAAATGTCAGCTCTACTACTGCTATAAATGTATACACAGGCATAACTTTTTAATGTCATCTTTACCCAACTGGTCTTTACCCCTACAACACATGAAAACACTATACACGATTATATATTACTGCTTATAGAACTGCATACCTTACTAGGGATTTAAACTTGGAAACTCTTCAGATTAACATGGTGATCAGTCCAATGGGAATAACATGCTAAAACGTTTTCATAGGGACAGTACTTATGCATTTTGCTAAGTCCATTTCCAAAGCCATTTCATTAACATCACTTTCAAAAATAACTTAGCCTAGGTTCCAGGCTGGAACTTTAAATATATATTTAAACTGTATATTATTTCCACAGTAGATTGCAGCAACTGAAGGACTGATATTTTTCTTTCCTTTTCTTTCCTCTACATTTACACGGAGTGTGGTAAAATATTTTGGGATTGTGAAAATGAAAGAGGACATGCACGTACACCCCAACTTCATAAAAAATCAGTTCACAAAGGAGGTTGAAAACCTTGCAGAATTTTCCATGTAGTGATCATAGATTTCACTATAGGTAACTAAAACAGAGGAGGGCAAAAAAGACGTTTTCTGAACTGTACCGAGTCTTAAGCTCAGGACTGAGGCATTTTAGGGGAAGTGATAAACTCCCTAGACAGAAAAACATTTAGAGCATCACAGAAAGAACCAAATTCTGGATCTTCATTTGGAAAATAATTTTGTAGAAAACAGGCACGCACTTTTGCATGAAATAGTGCTTTCATTGCAGAGACTTACATCACACACACACACTGTGGTTTGCGTGATTTCTGTGGTGATTTTTTTATGCCACAGCTGTGAATGGGTGCATCTTGTGAGTTTCTCTGCTGATACGTGATTACTACCCTGATCACTGCAATCTAAGCCTTGGACCATCCTAGCCCATTACAGACCCATTTTTAGCCACGCCCTAGTCCCATCAGTTAACCATTACAAAAAAGTATATTCTTAGTTCATTATGCATACAGTAGGCATGCATGCTTACTTCACAGTATGCATACAGTATACTACTACAGTATATACTACAGATACATACACTACCTACATATCACATTTAGAAGAGAGAAGATAGAATCAAGGTGAAATTCTGCCTTCATAAAGGATGTCTGGAAGTGTGCTATTTGGCCTAACAGAAGAGGCATGGGTACCCAAGGAAAAAGTATCTTTAGTATTGAACTGTCCTTCTTTATATTCTTTATTAATAGCAATTAGCAATTTCAAAGTGTTGATATATTCTACCAAACTGTTCCAGTTCAAATTGTTCACAACTAGACAGACAGCAATCTGATAGAGACGATGCACACAGAAAAAATCCCCTGTACTCCTGTGGAGCTCCAGTGATTTCAGTGAAAACTGGCAGAGTTAAATTCAGAATGTAATGTAGGAACAAAATACCGAATAGTAATTTTTGGTATTATACTGAAAATCTGAGCTGTCAGTATAGAATTACCTGATTCAGATAAGGTCAGTCTTTGTGGAATAATGTTATCATCTGAAAAAAAAATATCTCTGTACCCTCCAATTGATTCGGTAAACTTTCTGGCAATTTTTATTGTGACATAATAAAAAATTGACGTAATCTTCAGATTATACTAAACCTTAAAGTGATTCTCAAGCATTGATAGCCCCTGTGATTCATGACTTCTTTCTGTTACAGATCCTGACTTCACTTACCTAGGAGGTATTTTAAATCCCATTCCAGGTCTAGTATTACAGTAACAATTTCTTTATATATGAAATTTTAAATTAATATCATACTGCATTTGACAGCAAGGTGTATCTTCTCCCTAGACTGCCAGTTTGAGCTCTCAGGAGCTGATGGAATAGTACGTTCAAGTCAAGTAGAACAAGAAGGAAAAACAAAACCAGGACAAGCAGTTGACTGCATATGGACAATTAAAGCTACTCCAAATGCCAAGGTGGGTTTCGTTCATATCATTCAGCCATAATAGGCTTCCAAGTCATTAGTAACAGGTAATAGTCACTAGCTGTGATTTGCATATCTCACTTTCACTGAAATGAATTATATATCAGTGGCTTAGGAAATCCAGATAGAGGATTGTTTCTGAAATTAAACTTATACAGCAAGTCCACAGTGTTGTCTTCCTATTATTTGAAACTTAAAATACAAAATAACTGTGAAAACTGTTTAAGCAACAATTTTCAAGGGCATTTGACTTGGACTCTGGTTTTATTAGAAGACTGCAGGCAAAAATGCTGGCTACAGCTTTGATAAATTCCAGTAAATCTTGCTGCCATGGTTTAAAATTTTGCCTCAAGTGGTTCTACTGGAGAATTTGCTTCTGTTCAAAGTCAACAGAACACGTACTCGCTCCTCCTCAGTCTTAATTAACAATCCAGCATCTTAAAACCCACTTTCAGCAGCAGTCTGAGCTAAAATAAAAGGCTTTACCTGGAAACAACTGAGGAATTACCACTCTTTCTCTTCTGGCTTACTATAGGATCACATCCTCTTAAAGTGCCACAATAAAATTTGCTAGAGCTTTTCCACCCAAACCGTAAAGGGACGTATTAGGTCCTCAAAGCAAAAATCAGCATTTGTTACCTGGTATTTATGATTGTGCCTGCAGAACTAGAGACAGCTTACAAAAACATCACTATCTTATACTCATTAAAAACAACTTGAGCTTTATTGTTGGGCAGAGGGAAGGATAAAATCCTATTCATAATTCCAAAATACAATAGCTATAGCCTGTTAAAAAAAAAAACAAACCACCACAGCTATATGTTTCAGAATCATATACTTGTTAATTACTTATGAGTTGCACAGAAGAATACTTTTTTTCTCCATATAGCATACACATCTGTAATTTTGCTTCCCTATGTGTATTAAAGCACATACCACTGCTTACATATACATAAAAATTAAAAAATATTTTTAAGCGGTAGCTGCCAAAATGACAAACCTACTCTATGCCTTCTTACACACGCCTTATATTAACTAACCAGCCCTATTCACCAACTTCCAAATTAGTTCTAAAACAGCAACCTAAAAGATGGTAATAAGAGGACAAGACAAGAAAGAAACTAAAACTCCATTAATATATTTGAGCCTTTGAGGAAGTGACTCAACTCCCCAGAGCCCTATTCTAGTCTAAGTAATAGTAGTAATTCTTCCAGAAACAATAATAAAACCATTTTCTCTCTACACTGCCACTTGAGTGCACCAGGTCTTATGCTTAAATATTTTAATAAATTATTGAATGTTGCCAGAAGGCAGAGTTATAGTTGGGTCAGTCCTGAGATTAGATCATCATCATAAATTATTGAGTTAAAACATTACAGAAAAATAATTCTTAGTATTCTGACAGTGGTTTCTCAAGCTTCAATTCTGGCAGAATCATGATGATAAAATCCATTAAATCTGATATGGTGCAGTGTCTTGAGAAAAATAAGCATAGACATTTTTAATTTTTTCAATTTGATTTTGTAATAAAAATAAATTTTTAAAACTGGTACAACAGCAGCAATGAAAGGACTTTTAAAAAACCCAGATATTTAATAAATTACCTCCATATTTCAGAAAATTACTAGAATAATCAATATAATCTAAGAGTGAGAACCTTTTATATTTACTTGCCTAACACACTAACCAGAAGGAGCTTTTGCAGAGCTGAGCTCTTTTAATGGAATTACTCCTTTGTTTTCAGGCACAGAATAGCTCTACTAAAAGCATGCTAATTTATTTTTAGCTTCCATTGTAGTTTCACAGCAGATATATAAAGTCAATCATTAAATGAAAATACAATCTCTCAGACCAAATACTAGTACTTACAGCTCACACCAATGTTTGTGAGATAAGACATCAATGAAAGACAGATTCTCAATTTAGCTGAGAATTTCCGGCAGTAAATCTAACAGAGACAGAAGCAAAAATGAGAAAGAAAGGAAAAAAAAAAATCTATATACTGAAAAATCACGAAACAGTAAGTGAGATGAAGCATAAGATAATATGGCACAGGTTGCTCCTTTTCACAGAACGTGTAAGGGGAAACGGTGCTGGCACTCTGCCTCTGGAAAACACTGACAAGGAAAAGCCAGGCTATACAAGCGTCACCTGTCTTTTCCTATGCTCTTTTACTGTGTTTTCAATTGAGCCTGTTAAGTGTACGTGGGGGGCATCCTCACCCCCCAAGGTGGTTGGTTTTGTTTTAGTGAATTCTTTAAAATTCAGTTTTAAAAGGCTTTGGCACTCACTGAGGTTAAAAGCAAGATCTGGTAAAAGGACAGAAAAATAGATACTTTATTAGTAGTAAACATGATATTTATCTACCCCGTCTTCCCTGCTTCACAAACTAAACAAGAGTTTGAGATTCTTGTCATTAGGCAGATGCATGAAAAACTGCACTGTGCAAAAGGTCTTTAGCATCCATAGTGTCAGCCGGAGAGGCTGATTAATTATAAACTGTACTCAATACACATACAGTCTAGACCCAAGCTCGTCTGAAGAACATATGGAAGACCTCATAGATAGAGGAGGAACACCTTTTCTCTCACAGAGCAGGAGACCTCAGCCTCCACATGGATAGATTTCTTCTCTATCAAAATAATGGCTATCTGAGGAATTTTTAAAGTTTAAAGATAGACTTTGCAGCATGCTTAAATGAGTTAGTTATGGATCTCATCACTTTTACTAGAATTTTGAGAATTCCAATACAACCATTCAAAAGATTAAAAACCCCTATGATCTTTTCATGTAATTCTAACTGAATTACAATCTTGCACAAGTTTCCTGCTCCAGCAAAATAAATTATTTGCTTATTCTTCAAGTGCCATCTTGGTCTTCTAATTTCCTTGCTGCATGTGTTCTAATACCATACACTGCCTTCTCTTGGATTAGATTTCTGCTTTTGAAGGAATTAAGATTGGCTTAAACTCATTAACTTTTCCTAGGTAGCTAGCTTACTTTTCTTTCAAATTTTTATTCAAATTATTCCTGACTTCATGGTTTATGTCTCCATAACACTGCTATGGTTCAGTAATTAACTTTCATTCTGAAGCAACAAATTTTCCTTATTTTGCTTCAGAGCTGTTCTGACTACACTCTT